GTAAGATAATGCGTTTGATGACTAGATCTCCAACTTGATATACTTGGCGTCTGACTTTCTTGTTGAAAGCCTTGATCATTCATTTTTGATACATCTGACCATGGCAAACAACAGTAAGTCTCTTTTCATCAATTAAGTTCAATTGATCAAGTCGAGTCTGGATCCAATCGTCCTCACTTAAACCTGCATCCCTCATAATCCTCAAAGAGGGGATCTGAACCTCAATAGGCAAGACAACCTCCATGCCATAAACCAAAGAATAGGGTGTTGCCCCAGTTGATGTGCGAGCCGTGGTACGATACCCGTGGATAGCAAATGGTAGCATCTCATGCCAATCCTTGTAGGCGACTGTCATTTTCTGTATGATTTTTTGATGTTTTTATTTGCAGCTTCGACGACACCATTCATCTTTGGCCGATAGGGGACAAATTGTGATGCTGAATCTTGAACTGCTCGTACAAGGCGGTGATTATAGTATTGTTAAGGTTTGTACCATTATCAGTGATGATCCTTTCTGGGATACCGTACCGGCAAATGAGATTTTGCTTGATGAAGCGGGCAACAACATTCTTAGTAACAAATGCGAAGGAAGCTGCTTCGACCCACTTTGTAAAATAGTCAATGGCCACTAGAATGAAGCAGTGTCCATTAAAGGCTGTAGGCTTGATCTCTCGAATCATATCAATTCCCCACATAGCAAAGGGCCAAGGAGCCGTCAAGACATTCATAGGAACTGGAGGTACGTGCACCTTGTCCGCATAAATTTGACACTTATGACAAGTCCGAGAGTGTTGATAGCAGTCTGCTTCCATGGTAGACCAATAATAGCCTGCGCGTAGGATTTTCTTCGCCATCGTATTCCCACTAGAGTGAGTGCCAAAAGTACCTTCATGTAATTCAACCATGATCTTTTCAGCCTCAATCTTATCCACACATCGGAGCAGAATGGAGTCATGGTTGCGTTTGTATAGGATGCCATTACTCAGGAAGAACTTAGCAGAGAATCTCCTTAAGAACTTTTTATCATTGATTGAAGCTCCTTTTGGATATTCTTAAGCCTCGAGATACCTCTTGACTTCATGAAACCAAGGCTGGTCCACTACCTCTTCAGTATTAATCTCGTGACAGTGTGCTGGTTCATCCATTCGTTCAATGGTGATCTGGGGAGCCTCATTATCCCAATTAAGTTTAAACATAGATGACATTGTGGCTAGAGCATCTGCTAGCTGATTTTCTTCTCGCGGGAAGTGCTCGAAGGTAATCTCCTCAAAATGTGGTAGCAATGTCAAAACATGTTCTTTGTAAGGGATAAGGTTTGGGTGCTTAGTATCCCATTCTCCTTTGATCTGACTGATGACCAAAGCTGAATCTCCGAATACATCTAAGGATTTGATTCCCAAATCTATGGCAGCTCTGAGACAAAAGATGCATACTTCGTACTCCGCCATATTTTTCGTACAATTGAAGCAAAGTATGGCAGTAAAGGGAGTATGACACCCTTCTGGAGATATGATTACGTCGCCGATACCATTACCAAGTGCATTGGATGCCCCATCAAAGAACAGGGTCCATCAAGATCCTTGTTCAGGTCCGTCATATGGTCTGATTTCTTCACAGTTGTCTAATGTCATGATGTCTTCATCCGGGAATTCAAATTTCAAGGACTGGTAGTCTTCTACAGCTTGATGAGCAAGATGATCAGATAACACAATGCCCTTTATAGCTTTCTGGGTAGTGTACTGTATGTCATATTCTGTTAGGATCATCTGCCATCTAGCTGTCCTCCCAGACAGAGTAGGCTTTTCAAAGATGTACTTTATCAGATCCATTTTAGATATCAACAAAGTTATATGAGTCAACATATACTGTCTTAGCCGGTGAGAAGCTCATGTCAGAGCACAACAAGTTTTCTCGAGCAGTGAATATCTGGTTTCACAGTCGGTAAACTGTTTGCTCAGGTAGTAAATAACATGCTCTTTTCGGCCAGACTCGTCATGCTTCCCCAATACACACCCCATTGAGTTCTCTAAAACAGTCAGATACATGATAAGTGGTCTTCCCTCGACTGGTGGCATCAAAACAGGAGGCTCTTGTAAGTACTCTTTGATCTTGTCAAAAGCAATATGGCATTCATCATTCTATCTGACTATTTGATCTTTCTTCAAAAGTTTGAAGATTGGCTCACAAGTAGCTGTTAGGTAAGAAATGAATTTGGAAATATAGTTCAGGCGTCCCAAGAATCCTCTGACTTCCTTCTGAGTACGAGGAGAAGGCATTTCTTGTATCGCTTTAACCTTGGCAGGATCAACCTCGATGCCTTTGTTGCTGACAACAAAACCTAAGAGTTTACCGGACCAGACTCCGAATGTGCACTTGTTTGGATTCAACCTTTGTTTGTACTCCTTCAATCTCTCAAAAAACTTTTGCAAATGATCAAGGTGCTCCTCTTCAGTTTGTGATCGGGCTATCATCTCATCTACATAGACCTCTATCTCATGATGTATCATATCATGAAATAAGGCTACCATGGCGCGTTGATAGGTTGCCCCAACATTCTTCAGTCTGAATGGCATCACTTTGTAGCAGAATGTGCCACACTGTGTGACAAATGTAGTTTTCTCCATGTCCTCAGGTGCCATTTTGATTTGGTTATAACCTGAGAATCCGTCCATGAATGAAAATACTTTGTGCTGGGCCGTATTTTCAACTAGGATATCGATGTGGGGAAGTGGAAAATCCTCTTTAGGGCTAGCCATGTTTAAATCTCTATAATCCATGCACATTCGTACTTTGCCGTCCTTTTTAGGCACGGGAACAATGTTGGCAACCCATTGAGGATAGGAAGTGACAACCAAGAATCTAGTATTGAATTGTTTCATGACTTCCGCTTTGATCTTCTCTGACATGTCAGGTCTCATGCGGCAGACTTTTTGTTTCACTGGTGGACAGTCTTCTCTTGTGGGTAGACGATGTACCACGATGTCTGTATCAAGTCCTGGCATGTCTTCGTATGACCAGGAAAATATCTCAACATAATCATGAAATAGCTGAATTAGACGCTCCTTGACACTCGTTTCTAGATTGGAACACACCTTGATTTCCTTTTTGTCCTCCTCGGTACCCAAGTTGATTGTATCCACCGGTTCCTCATGAGGCTGAATAGCTCTTTCCTCTTGTTGTAGTAGTCTGGCCAATGCTCCTGGTACTTCACAATCTTCCTCACCTTCGTCTTCAGCTTGGTAGATTAGATCTTCAGAGTCACTAAAGGCCATAGCAGTATCGTTACCCATGGGATCCGGAATGGAGGGGTTCCTGCATTTGTGAGTGTGGGTGTGTGTAAGGGTATAGCCATCTTTAAACAATAAAATGTAAAAGAAAGGCAATGAGCACAAAAGGTTTGTATGTGAAAAAACGTCCATGATTCATTGAATGTCATATGAATATGAAATAAAAACCCTTACAAATGGACCATTGTGCCTCGAATAAGACACAAGGTTTTTAATGTGCGAATTGTTTGTGAATATTACAAGTCCAACAAAAATGTAAAAGATAAATTACTGAGAGATGAAAGTTATTGGGACAAAGTCTCTGGCTTCCCAATTGCGAAGTCCTCCGTTGACATTAGGAAATATCCAATCCTCTAAGCTGCCATCTTCTTCACCATCTTCCACTGCGTTGACCTCTTGGTTGCTAATCTTCAGAGGTGGCCCTCCAGCACGGGCACGACGCACAACCTTCTGAGAATTCGAAGTAAACCCTAAGCCAAACTTGTCAAATTTATATGGAATATCTGGAAGCTTCCCCCAAATGGTGCATCCATCCTCCTCTACTACTGCCTTGGCGTCCTTTAGAGACGACATCTAAAGCGGAGGTCTTGTGATCTTGGGGATCTGGGATACCGTCTTGGTTACTGCTACCTCTTGAGAGACTTCTTCGAAATTATGAAAAGGATTTTCAATGAACTCGCCATCCAACTCCACATACCAGAAAGTATTTAGGTGGCTAATCATGTACTCTTCCTCTCCGTGGACAGTGATAATCTTTCCATGGATCAGGTATTTCAGCATCTGGTGCAGTGTAGAGGTGACAACACCAAAATTATGGATCCAGGGCCGTCCTAGCAGACAAGAGTAAGAGGGGCGGATGTCCATTACATAGAAAGTTGAGTTGAAAGTCTGAGTTCCCACCTTTATGGGGATGTACACCTCCCTGTGGACCATCCTCTTTGAGCCATCAAATGCTCTTACGACTATGTTACTGGGTTTCAATGTCAGTCCTTCGCAATCCAATCTGTCGAGAGCTTTCTTTGGTAAAACATTCAAAGATGAGCCAGTTTCCACCAAGACATGGGCCAGAGTTGTTCCTCTACACTCCACAGAGACATGTAATGCCTCGTTGTGCTTTCTCCCTCTTGGTGTCAAATCAGCATCAGAGAAGCCTAGGCCGTTATCAGTTGTCAAACTGGCCACACAATCTCGGAATTGGTCAGCAGACGTCTCTTGTGGCATATGGGCTGTCTTTAGAAACTTCACCAGAGCTTTCGCATGTGCCTCAGAACACAACAACAATGCTAGCATGGAGATTTTGGAGGGAGTTTTCCCCAACTTTTCAACCACGTCATAGTCACTCTTCTTTATTATCCTCAGGATCTCCTCCATTTCCTTCTTGGAGGTTTTGGGGATAGTCAATGGTTGAGCCTTCGTCCGGACATGCTCTTCTTGAATACTTTTTCCTCGAATTTCAGCAGTAGAAGTGTTGGTAGGGATAACAGCAGGGGTTATGTCGTCTTGGCCAGTAGGAGCACTTGTAGATATGATTATTGGTACGGAGGTAACCTTTGGAACAACCACGGGTCCAAAAACTGCCTTTGGAGGGGCAATTTCCGGAGAGAAGATTCTACTACTACGGGTAATCCTACTGGTTCCAGAAATATTGCTAATGTCAGAGTCTTCTTCTTAGGAGCTCACTTCTTCGGCGACCAGCCCATCTTGTTTGATACCATGGTAGTAGATGTCTCCACCGTAATTCCACGGTACTGTTTTTCCTGATTCATACGGGACCGGCCGGAGCATTGTGATTATGAGAGGAGTAGTTTCTGGAACCGATGTAATCCTAACGAGTCTCTTGGGGACCCTGGAAGGATTGGCGGAGATGGTTATGAGTGAAACGTCTTCAACAGGAACAAGTGAAATAGGAGCATTTTCAAATAGAATCTCTTGGTTGTCTATCAAGCGTTGAATGCCTGTCTTCAACAGAGGGCAAATAGTTGGTGAGGAAAAGAAAAGATGGCAGTCTTCATTACAACCTGAGAATATACCAGCTTTCAACAATTTTATCTTAATGATTGGGAGCAGAGTCAAGAGTTCATCCACTGTGGTAACAAACAAATCTTCTTCGATAGCATTGGTGTTGTGACCATGCCTAGGCATAGGAGCGGAAATGACGTTTGGTTTCTCGAGCGCATCAAACTTAATCTCTTTTGCATTAATAAGGTCTTGAATTATCTTTTTCAAGGCCCAACAGTTGTTAGTGTTGTGACCCGGACTTTCGGAATGATATGCGCATCTGGCATTTGGGTGATAATGAAGGGACTCCGTGTTGGGATTCTTTGGAGCTTCTTTTAAAGTTGCCAGATTAGATTTTAGAGGATATGGTAAAACCTGGGCTAGAGTCATATTAATTCTGGTGAATTGCCGAACTGGCCTTTCCACCCTCGGTTGGTTACTTCTTGGTTGATCAGATGTAGGCTTTGGGATCATAACGGCCCCTACCATTGGTCGGTGTTCGGCTCTCCCTTGGTTCCTTTGTGGATAAACAACAGATACCTCCTTCTTCCCAGTGAAAGGTTTTCTCATAGCTGTAGAGGCAGACGAATCCTTCTGAATCTTTGCGCTTTTTATGCCAGCTTCCACCCTCTCTCCGGTTAGTATTAACTTAGTAAATCCAGCAGATGAGCTCCCAATCAAATGGTTGAAGAAAGGGCCCGATAGAGTGCCTAAGAACATATCCACCAACTCCCTTTCAGATAAAGGGGGTTGCACTCTTCTAGATAGATCTCTCCATTTCTGCGCGTAATCTTTGAAACCCTCATTTGAAGTCATAGCCATACTCTGAAGTTGAGTACGGGTAGGCGCCAAATCTGCATTATATTGGTATTGTTTATAGAAAGCTGCAGCAAGGTCTTTCCAGTTGTGAACGCCGACCCTTTCTAATTGGTAAAACCAATCGAGTTGTGTTCCGGATAAACACTACAACATTTGTTGTCTCTGGCAACACTTTTTTAGGTAATATGTAGAAATTGTTGCCTTAAATTCATATAGGCAACGATTTACGATTGTTGTCAAAAATATGTTTGCAACCCTTGATAATCGTTGCCTAAAATACTTTTGGGGACGTTTATGGAGCGATACTCTTTTATTTTTTTGCCAACGGTTGTTAATTGTGCCCTTAACTGCTTTTGGGGACGATTTTAGAGCGTTAAAATATTATTTCTTTAGCAATGTTTGACAATTGTCCCCTAAAATATTTTTGGGGACATTTTTAGATTGTTACATTAGTTCTAATAAAAGGCTACATTTCTGAAATGTTGTATAAATTTTTTTAGAATTATCAAATTTTTGGTGGCAATCTTCCCTCCAAAACTTATACACTAAAAAACAAATATTTTTCTCTAAACATTATTAATATATATAAAAAAAAATATTTTTCTAACACAGGAATTTAAAAATAAAAAATTTCAATTAAACAAAAAATAAAAAATTATATATATATATATATATATATATATATATATATATATATATATATATATATATATATATATATATATATATATATATATATATATATATATATATATATATATATATATATATATATATATATATATATATATATATATATATATATATATATATATATATATATATATATTAGTCTAAAACTTATATATATTTCAATTAAACATGAATTTTTCTAACACATTATTAATATTTCTCTAAAACTTATATATATATATTAAAAAAATTTTCATTAAACAGAAAATAAAAAATTTTCTAACACAGGAATTTAAAATATTTTTCAATCCATTCCCGTTCCATTCTTCTCTCGCCGTAAGTCATCTCTATCCCATTCCATTCCTCAACTTCAATAACTACATCACTTTTCTCACAACATTCTCACTCTCGCTGAATCCAGCTCTCATGATTCCGAAGCAAGTTCGAGAAATCAAGCTTCGCGTAACAGCGACTCCACTCGTTTATCGCTTACTCACTTCCTCGATCGCAAACTGCACAACTCTTCAACAGTCCCTCAAACCGTTCCGGTAAAATTCTGGATCCAAAATTACTCTTAGGGTTTCGGGCTGATTTAATATATATGGGATATGTTGAAGTGTGTTGATTTGTTTCATTTATTTGTTGTTCATTTTGAAAGCACGTGTTTCTTTTCTTGGATGAAATTTTCTAATTTGTTTTTGAATAGGGGAAATTGACGCCTTTTCAATCACCGGCCAGTGAGCAAGATGGAAGCGTCAAACTAACTGATCAAGTAGGCACCATGTCTCTGATTTCATACTATGTATGTCGTTCATTGTCATATGCTTCTTTAGGAAACTTCAATGTATGCCATTATTTCAGATTTTTTGAGTTTGGTCAGGGCATGGGGCATGAGTTGACTTGGGGCAAGAGCTATAAGGTCAGGGCATGGGGCATGAGTTGACTTGCTAAGGCATGGATGGATTTTGATAACTACTAATGGATGGAGTTTGTGTGGTACCAAGGAGAGTTATAGGAATTACCTTGGGAACTTTGAATAAAAAATGCAAGTGACATGTAATCCCTTTTGAAGTGATGGAAACAAATGGAAGCATCATTGCCGAAATTTTGGATTGTAGATTGTAGATAGAAGCCAAGCAAGCAGGGGGTTGATCCCGTGGCTCCTAGACTTCGAATTCATTGGAGATTGAATTCGATTCTGCATCTGTAACCGTTGCAAACTTTGCAGGAATCTTAGGGTTAACAAGGTAATGATAGAGCTTGTGAGCTTTGATCACTCACTGACTTGTTGACACTGCAAGAGGTAGTTTTAAGCACCATGCTTCTCATAGATAACGGAAAATGAAGTGCGCAAAGATGAAGAATGCAGTGTCAGTGATGGTGCCGGTGATGACGCGACTATGAGCACTGTGTCGGAATTTTGAGATGATGGCACATGATCATTGCAAGGCTCAATTGATACCATGTTATGTTAGAATTTTCAATGTTGGTCATGATTCTCTTGGAATCTATGCGAAATGTTATGGTATTTGATCAAATGATTGTTACAACTGAGATCTATTTATTGATCTTAGGCAAGGTCAGGTGACATGTCAATCAGGTTGTTAGGGTGGTTACAACTGTTTCCAACAGTTAGACAGTTAGTTTAGTTACAATCAGTTATAAGGTGCCACTATAATGCATCAGGCCTACCGTAAGCTCTCATGAGCTTGCTGTTAGTTAGACTTAATCTATTCCTTTAATATATTTGTTCACATATTTTCTTAAACAGTATGATTAGGCATGTAGGTATCTCTTGTGATAGTGAAAAAATGATATTGTTGCAGGTTAAGCAGAATGGATTCTTTCCTGCAGATTTACTTTTCTTGGCCAGTACAAATGCAGATGGTGTCTGCTACATTGAGGTTTATTTTTTATTTATTTGTTTGTTAATATGTTTCAATCTAGTAAAATTGTTTCCTTGATGTTCTTTATCAGTATATGCCATTTATCAATGTTGAGTTTGGCTGATAGACTGCTAATTTGGACGGGGAGACCAATTTGAAGATTAGGAAAGCATTGAAAAAGACCTGGGATTACCTGACCCCAGAGAAGGCATCCGAGTTTAAAGGTTTGTATTTTAATTATGATGTCCCTTATTGCAATTATTTACTTGATGTCTATGTTCTAGGATACATACACCATCAAACCTTCCGTCTTTTAATGTATTTTGTTTTAAACATTTTAAGTATAGGGATTTTTTTCGCGAAATTATCATAATTTTGGCTAATCTATCTGAGTAATGAGTACATGAATTCAATTTTATCAGTCCACTGCGCATGTTAGTTACTATGGATTGGCTACCTTCATAGTTTCTTTGAGATATAATTCTGATTTCAATTTAATGCGATTACAGAGACATACAGAATCTTTCATACTGTTGGATTTCCTTGTTAATTTACTCCATTTTTCCAGTCTATTCACCTTCCTCAAAAGTTGCTACAAATTTATAATCTCCTTTCTTATTTGTGCATTTAACTGTTTGCGTTCATGTTTACATTCACCATTCTTCAGTGTCAGATCAGCAGTGAATTCAGGCTGTGTATAAGTAATGTAAAATTGTGTAATTCATTATCATTTATCATTAGATGTAAAGATCCTCCAGTTAGATGGAGTATTCACAATGACTAAAATACTAGTAACTGAATGCTCATAGAATATTGAATTATTTACTTGTCTTGTTAATTGTGTCTAAATTTGTTGGATTTTTTTTATGGAAACTCCTAATTTGCGACTTGCTGTAACTGAAATTTTGGATGGCTCTTCAAAATGATTACTTTTCATTTTTATTTTTTTAGAACATATTCCATAGTCTATGCAATACTCTTTTATTATTAGGGTGATGGGTGTCGGTTCCAAGGATAAATGCATCTATTGCAAGTTCTGACAAGCATTCTTGTTGTTATTTGCAGGTGAAATTCAATGTGAACAACCGAACAATTCCTTGTATACATTTACCGGAAATCTTTTGATTCAAAAGCAGACACTTCCACTGCCCAAACCAGATTCTTTTGCGAGTATGCCGTGTTTTTTCCCTTCCCTATGCTGTTTGTGTTATCATGTTGTAGCTTTGTCTATTATTCATAAACTAGCCATAATTGTTGCATTTGACAGATTACTTGAGTGTTTTTTCTTTGGTGAGATTGTTTTTGACATTGTATTCTCCGGTGCTATATCATCAATAGATGCTTCTGTTTTGTTTACTAGTTTATGATATTGAACAAGCATTAATTTATTGAATCTCTGCATTTTTCAGGGATGCAGTCTCAGAAATACAGAGTATATTGTTGGTGTTGTTATTTTTACAGGACAAGAAACAAAGGTATGTTGTTATAAATGACACCTAATGTTACTGCCTTCACAATTTTTTAACCCCTGGTCTACATTTAGCCAAAAATAGTTATTAACATTTGTAATGTGTTGATTGTTAAAATGTTACTAGTGACATGGCTCTATTGTTTTGGACTTGTTATGCTATTACTCCATCCTGAATGATAACAAAAATTGACTAAATTACACATATTAGAATGGTGGTTATACTAATTAATCACATATATGCGTGAGTTACGCTATCTTGGATAGGAACTGTCTTGTAATATTCTACTATCTCTTTCATTAGTTTATTTGTGAATTATGCATGCTCTACCATGTGTGAAATTATGTTTCTGTTGTAAACAGATTATTTAATCAATAAAAGTTAATTTGTACAGTTAAACAGTATTTTGTTACTACTTTCTAATAGTTTTTTATTGTTTTTTTTTCAAGAGGACGACGTAGATGACGAATTTCAAGAGGACGACATAGATCTAGATGATGAATTTCAAGAGGAGGATATAGATGGTGAATTTCAAGAGGACGACGTAGATGAAGAATTTATGGAGGATGACATATCTAACGAATTTCAAGAGGACGATCTGGATGCTTTACTCCTAGAAGACAAACTTGAATGAGTTGGATGATGTCTTTTTTTTGGCTTGTAGTTGAAAGCATTAAACTTGAAATATGATTTTTGTTCTTTTGCTGAACTATGTTTTTAGTTATTTTACTAGGGTCATACTTCAAAGTATTAAAAGTAATATTGTTACGTTAGGCATTTTGTGTACTCTATATACTATATCTTGAATTAAAGTTTGAACTCGATTTTATTATATTACAACTTTTATGGATGTATGGTTTAAGTTATATAATCAATATTATTTTTGAAGCCAATTATTATTGACTATATTATTTTGATAATAATTGCAAAATTGTATATTTTATGTGGACACTATAAAACAACATCCTATAAGCTATGGCTACACTTCAAAAACGATCTTCCTGATTCAGGTTTAAGGCAACGATTGTTAATTGTAGCCGAATTTGGCAACGCAACGCTTAAAAAACGTTGTCTCAGAGGCTGTAAATAATCGTCCCCTATTCCTTTACTATAGGCGACGTTTTTCAAAAGCGTTCCCAAAAAACATAAAAAAACGTTGCCTTAAACAATAGGCAACGCTCGCACAGGAGACGCCTAGAAAACGTCCCCTATTGTTTTAGGCAACGATTTTCAGAGTTCTGGCAACGTTTTTCAATTGTTGCTGGAGAGCCTAAATGTTGTAGTGAAACTATCCTTGAAATAATGTACCCACAGGTCTTTATCGGCGGAGTGCGGTTGGATCTTTCTCACATATGATCAGAGGTGCATTTTAGGACATGACACCCCATCATATTTTGCAAACAACGACACTTTGAACTTTGGTGGGATCACAATTCCCGATACTAGCTCCAAATCTTCAAAGTCTAGACCTGGTACCCTTTGTATTTCCATAGTGCTCAAACGCTCTTCAAGATATCTATACTTATCATCAGCCGGAGGATATTGTTCCTCAGAGTAGTCTTCCTCTTCTTCCTCCTCTTCAGATTCTGACGGAACTGCTGTTTATTTTCCTTTCCCTTATCCTTCATCAGATGTTGCTGCGAAATTCAAGGTTCTTCTAGTTTGCCCTTGAAACCTTCTCCCCATGATTACAACACGAGTTGGTTTCTTCTCTTTCTTCTTTTTCTCTTTGGCTAACAGAGTCTTCAGCTCTTCTTTCCCTTTAGCCAGGGTTGTGAGTAACTGTTGAAACTGCACGTTTTGAGCTTGAAGATCTTTGACTGTCTGTTCGAGATCCATCTTACTGAAATAAACAATAGAGAAATGAGGAAACTCGTTGCAAAAGACCTATTTATGTCATGAGAATGATATGTATACATGCAATGCTTTCAAGGATTTACAAATTCAAATTCGTTTTAAACAAAAAGAAACACACGTTATATTAATAAAATAAAGTTTGAGTACATCAATTCCCCTTGGGATAAATAATACAAAACTCTAAGATAAAAAAGTAGTGCGCATCCTCTTTGGTGCTATGTAGGCATTTAGAGCCTGCTCCTCATGAAGTAGCCTAGTGAGTTCCAAAACCTTCTTCTCGCTTGTGTAAAATTGGGCTTCGAAAGTATCTCGCTCTTCTTTGAGTTGTATCCAATCCCTTTGTAGATCTTCAAGAGATGTGGGCATGTCAGGATGTAGGATAGTGTATGGAACTTCTCCTTCCTTAACAGGCTCAATAATCACCGGGAGAATGGAAGGATAAGGTATCATAAGACTTTGAGCGCGGGTTCGTACCCACTTGAGGTAAGGCTCAAAAGGGATGGAATTCTTGTGTCCCAAAGTCTTGCTATCCACCTTGTTTAGCATCCTCCAAGCTCGGATGAATCTCTGGCGAAGACCTTGATCGTCGTTGTCATAGTCGAATACCAAGCCTTGAATGAGCATCTCATGTGGGCCATCCCTTCGGGCATAACCAAACTATCTTAGAGCTAAGCATGGGTTGTAGGTTATGCCTCCCATAATGCCAAGTAGAGGGACATTAAGGAATTCCCCACAACGGTCAACAATGATAACATTCTCTTTGGATCGAGAGCACCAATGAATATCTTAATGTTTGAGTGTCATTAACCTTTGTGACCACCTTAATCCTTGATCATTCTTTAAGACTGATTGGGGAAGATGAGAAATAAACCATCTTTCCAGGAGGGGAGTGCAACACATAAGGACACCTCTTTTCCTCATTGTACGAGTGTGAAAAGAGTGCAGGATATCCCCTAGTAATGTAGGCACTGGATTATGTGATATGAAGATTTTGACGGCACTCACATCTATGAGTTGGTCAGGATTGGGGAACAACACCATCCCATAGATAAGAAGAGCCACAATTTCCTCAAATGCTTGCAAGTATAAGGAATTCCAACAACTTTGGGCCTTCTCAATCAGAAATTTTGCTAAGAAGCCTTTGACACCACTTCTAGTTTCCCAATGAGTTGTGACATTAGATGAGTGCAAGTGCAGAGCTTGAGCAATCTCTTCTGGCTTTGGATCTCTTTCCGTACCATTGAAAGGTAGTTGATTGAGAATGGGAATCCTCAAGAGTTGAGAGAATTCTTCCAAAGTGGGCACAAGCTGATAGTCGGGAAATGTGAAGCAATGATGCAAAGGGTCAAAGAACTGGAAGAGCACCTTCATCATATCCTCCTCTGTGTTTGAGGTGACCAAGTTGAGTAGACGACCATGCCTCTCGGTGAATGGAGAGTTCTCAGGGATCCTTGAAGCTAGCTCCTTGAGTTGTGGAGGAATTCTTACAAGGTTGATTTGGATAATTTTCCTGCGAAGTGAATCCATATCCTGCAAAACAAGAACAAAAATGAATCTCCCAAATCCTTGAAATGGTTAGTGAATGCATATGATGTTCATGATGTTTATGATGTTATGCACAAGTATGTATATACAAGCAAAACAAACAAGTTCATAGTTTAGGCTTGCATGGGGTTTTATAGGTAAGTACCCTCTTGAAGTTAGTTGGCTTAAACCTGTCATAGTAATAGTAACTGGGTTCTAAGGAGCTCAATATCACTGGATTGTTTCCTTGGTCATTGTTTCAGCTCAAGCCTCTTTAATGGCGACTGAAATATCCCAATAAATCAATCCTCAATGAGTGTAGTATCGAGTATCTACCAACTTCGGACTGCACCAAGACCGGTCATCTCACTACATCCTAAAGGCCAAGTTGGTCAAGTAAAGGGTTCTAGAAGTTCATTAGTGCTTCATGACATCACTCAGCGGCCCTGTATTCTCTTTGATTGACTCAAAGGCTACCGGTACCCACAAATATGTCACACTAACATAGCTATTGCTTAGACCATGTCGGTATACCCCGCACAGTTTCCACAACGTATTTCTATTTACCTATAATGTTTCCCAAATCCGGGTGGAGGATTCAAACCCAAACAAAGAACCATAATGTAAAGCAAACAAGTCAAACAATGTAAGCAAGTAAATGTGATCTAGCCCTAAGGTAACCCCACTTTTAGAATTTTCCCCAGCAGAGTCGCCAGTTCTGTGATACGGTGGGAGAACTGACTTGAGGGTTTTGCGTTTTATCGCAAATGTTGCGGTTAGCAAGAGTCGCCACCGACTTTTCTTTTATCCAAAAGGAAAGGTGAAAAAGAACATGAAAGACCTTTGAGATGTTTTCTTGAGTTTGGGGGGTAGATTATGAAAAGGGAAGGTATTAACACCCCTTTCATCCATGGTTTTCCATGGGCTCTTAGTTACTTGCTAGATCACTTGCTTTTGTTGTTTGAAAATGTGTTTGGTGTGGTTTTGAAAGTATTTTGTAAAAGAGGCCATTGTTTTGGCAATCTTTGTAATGATTCTCGTTCGTAAGAATGTATACAAAGATGTTTGTCTTTTTGAAAATGTTTTCAATGATTGTAAGATATTTTGAAATGTGTGTGTTTGTTTTGAAAATAGCAAGGATAATTGTTTTGAAATAGAGCAAGTAACTAGAAGTAATCTACCTACTCAAATGTCTTTCTTGTACATTTTCTATTCCTTTGACGTTGTCGTCTTACCATTAATTTGGTAAGTAACCCTATCTTTGGATGTAAACTGGACGGGCGTGGGTCTTCGTATAACCATGATTAGCAATGTTGCAAAGTATCTTAGCATTTTGAGGGACCAAGATCATTTTGTAAGGCAACCTTGAATAGCGTCATCGAGGGACTATGATCTTATATTTGTTTTGTTTTGCCAAGATACTTCGCATGTGTAATATGGCCATTTTTCATAAGGCAACCAAGTGGAGAAACCCTAAGGATGCTTGTGTGCAAGTGTGTCATTTTCATGCTTTGATTTTATCTAGTATTTAGGGTTTTCTATTTTACTTTGTTTTGATCTTACCATACAAACCCTAATTACTAATCATGGCATGTAAAGCGGTAAATTGCGTAATGTAAATATTACTAAGCTATTACAACAATTTTATGGGAGGGGGGAATACAAATTTGAATGGGGATTTGCAAGAATGTAAACCTAAATAAATTATTACAACCAAATCGAATTTGTACGAATATTAGAATAAATAACATACAATATTTAAATATGCAATATTATGTGCATGCAAGAAAAAGATTTTTGTTTTGTTTTGTTGGGAAATTAAATTTAAACATAAAAATATAAGGAAAAGAAATTAATTCTTGAAAGAAAAATTAACCCTAATTTCTATTTTAAAAGAAAATAAAATTCTTATGTACTATCTTTTATGTATTTTTGTATTAAAAAAATAAATAATATTATATAAAAAATATAAAGTTTTTATATATGCAAAAAATAAATATTTATAAGTATGGGATGAAAAGGAAATAAATAAATTATACTAAACATATTTTAATTATTTTTTACAAGTTTATTATGAAAAATAAATAATATATATTAAAGATAAAATATATTTTTATGTGAAAAATAAACTAAAATAAAATATAAAAAATGCAATATTATCAAAATTTATATTTTTGGGATTTTTTATGCATTAAAGAAAATATTTAATAAACTAAATTGAAAATAAAACAAATAAAATAAAAATACAAAAAA